TTTTTTTTTTTTTTTTTTTTTTTTTTTTTTTTTTTTTTTTTCTTTCTTTTTTTTTCCTCCAAGCACACAGGCTAAACTCCATGTGATAAACTAAGCACATGGACTTGGCACTGAAAAATTCAGAACTTGAAAGGTTGATAGGTGGCCCCATTCCAGTGTCCAAAAACCCTTTCCACACCAAAATATAGTCTTAATTTGAAAGATCTTAAATTGAAAAGATCAGGATTTTCTCTCAAACTAGAGAATAAAGGTCTTAGAAGCAGTCTCTCCTGTGACAGAAAGCAGAGAGATAGCCTACACTGGTAGTGCATGAGCAGCTCCTGTGTTGGGCAGGTGAAGAATTCTTCATAGCAACACTGATGATTTGTTATTTAAGGACTAACTTAGCAATAGGCTGTCTGAACACTAACACATAAAATGCAATCCACAGCATCTCAGCTCTTGGTTCAGAGAAATTCCGGTGGATGCTTAAAATTAGCATTATGTTCATTTGGGAATTTATAAATAAAGTGGAAAGGATGCATCTCTTTCCACGGTTCCAAAAGAGAAATAAAGCATCATCACTGGATGGATAAAGCTTTGGCAGGCTGCAACACTGTTGCTTTTGTCTGCATCTACTACAGCCAGTTAGTACTAAAACCTGAAAGTGGGGGATAGACGTTTCATATGCCCGGATATTTCACTGGTGGGTGCCTGGCTGTGTGGGTCTGGAGATGCTCCCCATGGCACCTACGTGGCCGCCTGGAGGGTGGATGAACCACGCTGCTGATGCAGCTTTGTAGTGCTTTCTCCCCAAGCCTTTTGTTTTCACTGCACCTGTGACTAGCTTAATATGGTGATGGAGGAGAAAGACAGCAACCTGCCAGGACAGCTCACCCCGCCTTCAATTCTTTCCCTTCTTTCCTAGCAGGGGCACCAGCACCTTCCATATCAGGCTGCTAACGCGCACCCACCACCGACCAGAGCAGGAGCCTCTGGGGGAGAGGTGGCAAGCCGCACTGGTGCTGGAGCCATGTGTGGAGCAAGGCACTCAGCTTGCCTCTCCTAGTTAGGCACAAAATCTTGCAGCGATGGCATTCCTGCTTCCAGCCATGCCCCTTCCCGGGGATTCCCCCGAGTGAAGAGCTATGCGCCTGCAAATTGCTGGATGTACATGCAGGAGCAGAGTTAATATGCTCTGCATGCTCAGTAAATCTAGAGTGCTCTGGGAGAGCTAGGCAAGCAGCATATATGTGGTTTTCAGGGAGAAATTGCCCTTTTCTGACTCCGTCCAGAAGCAAATGGTTTGCCCTGCAATAAAGGCTGGGCTCCACTGATTTATGGTAAAGACCCATCTTAGTTATAAAGCTCCAGCTCAGAGTTCTCCTAACAATCTGAAAACACAGCAGTTATTTTTAATTTGTGCCTAGGGAAATGTTGGGGGTGGGGGTAAAGAAAATAGAAAATAAATATTTTTAAAAAAGAAATCCTCCTGTTGCAACAATGGTGAAAACCAAATATGGCTCAGTTCTGTCCAGGGAAACTATGCCATGTTTTTCTTGCCACAGGGGATTGGGTTGTCAATGCACAGCTTGATAATATTGTTAGTATTAGTGCTACACACATTTACGCTGATGGAAAAATATCACTTGCCCTTGTGCAAGAATCTATGCTACAGATGACCTTATTGGATTTCCAAATATGCGGGAAGCAGTGATTCCTGCTGGCTGCTGGTTTCAGCCTGGTGGATGAACAGTCGTCAGAGCTGGATCAGTGTACACGAACTAGCACAGCTCAGCTGAAGTCAAAAGCGGGATGCTACTGCAAACAGGCATCTGACTTCATCTACAAAGCCAGCAAGTTGGTCCTTTCTATTCGCACAATCCGAATGGCATATGCATAAGAAACGAACTGCAGATTAGTCTGTCTGCTTTGAGAACAGGAGCACAGACCACATTAGGCCTGTGCAGTCCTCATGATGGACCCACGGATGGATCAGATGATCAGCAGGAGCGAAGGTCAGTAGGGGCGATGTGGGAAAAGGCATCATTTATGCCAGAGCGTGTAAACAGATGGTTGGCAATAGGGTATCGAGTGACTTGGAGTGTTCACAAAGGGGAGTGGGATCATACAGCGAAGCTGTAATCGTTATTAATTATCTATTACCAGATTAGAGGTACATTAGTGACCTGCACCACTTATCCAGCACACTAAACCACACAAAGGTTCTCACAACATAATAAGGTTAAAACAATAATGAAATGGTACAAGAAGATGACAACACCATAGCACAGCACTGTGGCGTTAGTCGGGCTCCTGGAAGAGCACTTTAGCTGAATAACACGAGTTCCTGTGGAAGTGAATCAGGTTACATTACGGAGACGGGAAGGGGAGTGGACACCACACAGATAATTGCTTACAAACGTACCTAGTATTTTCCTTGGGTGATACTCAGGGTTATGTGAATAAAACTGTGAAGCTAATCAAACTCCTCTGAATGCTCCCGTTAATTTCTGTGGCTGAACTCAAGCTGCAGAACTTACTAAAGCAGAAGGTCATTAAAACAAATAGCAAGCTAGGATAAAATGAGAGGGTCTGGCCCTTGAATGAACCTTGATCACTGCAATGGCTTAAGAAGATTTAGTCTCTCTCTCTGTGTCCTTTGGTAAGGATCTGCTGAAAAGACGATGGAGAAAAGTGGCAATCTAGCCATTAATGCTAAGCTACACAGTGCAGGTTTGCAGCTATAGGGTGCAAGCCTGGTCATCAGCCCCATGGCTCAGCGAAGGCTGCCTCTGGGCTTGCCTTTTGCCTCGTTAGGAAATGCCACCTTCCCCTTCTTCTGCACCACTCAGAAGGAAGCTTTCAGGCAACGGCCAAAGCATTTAGTTATTAGCACAGTTGGGCTCCTGCCCAGAGAGCCCTATCATCACCTAGGAACCTGTTTTGCCACGTGACACACACAAACCAGCTCAGTTCTTCCTCCAGAGCGCTGATGGTCAGTGGAGCACCTCCACTGAGATTTCCTTGTGCTCCAGAATTGCCTCCCTGGTGCTGTCCTTAACTTGGAGGAGGATGGACTGGAAAGCCCCATATCGGTTTGAAAAAGGCACAGGCTGCATTTCCTACCACATTAAAGAACCTTTCTAATGAAACCTCCCAGTGAGCGAAAGGAACGTCTCTTCCTGACACAGAGGTATGATGTGCACAGTCATAGGTGTCCAGAGAAAAAAGCATTTCCAAAAAGATAATTTATAACCCCAGACAGTTGGCACCAGCTGCATGTCAAAAGCCAGCTTGGTCTTAGACAAAGATTATGATGCTATTGGAGGAAAAAAAACCCCAACAAAACAACCCCAAACTTCCTTTATTTTTAATTTAAAGTCTTAACCTTGTCTCAAGCCAAAATTTAAAAAAAACCCCAAAAAACAAAAAACCAAAACAACAAAAAACCCCACAACAAACCAACAGAAAAGAAAATCAATATATCTTATATTGTATTCAGCTGGGACAGATGGCAAAGATATTAAATATTTTGGCGTTTGGCCAAGTGCACATTTAATGCAAAAATTGATGCTAGTGAAATAACCTTTTCTCCTTTTAAAAACCCTCTCCAAGTTGATTATTATCCACAAAAAAAAAAAAAAAAAAAAAAAAAAAAAAAAAAAAAAAAAAAAGGAAGAGAAAGAAGAAAGAAAGGAAATAAAGGGAATCTAGCTTAGAGATGCATTAACAGATCACTCTGAGTAACAGTCCAGCGGAGTTTATGGCACAAAACATGAACCTTATTTAGAAAGCATTTGGTTGGGGCTGATAATACACGGTATCACCAAAGCCCAGGGCAGTCTGCTCTGCTGCCTTTGGCTGAACTGTCTTCCATCTACTTCTGATTTAGTGTACAATTAAGACAATGTCTACGAGATCTAAAGCAAGTACCTACTTCCAGGGGGATACTCCTAGATCTAGTTATTATCTTGCCAGCACATGAAGTATCTCTTTCCAAATAAGCACCCAAGCCCTGCTGACAAAAGGCACAATCCTGCGAAGTGCTGAGGATGCTCAATTCCCCCCTGAATTCACTAGAGGATGAAGGTGCTTATTGCCTTGCAGAAGGTGTCCAAAGGCTAACACTCAGAGCTCAGCATCTTGCAGGATTTGGTCCAAAGCACATTTCCATTCAGAATTAAAAGCAAGTGATTTTTATTTTTTTTCCCCCTTTTCTTATGAGTGAATTAAATGGACTGAGAGTTATTTCTGCCCTGAATATTTTTTGTGCTTTTGAAAGATTCTGCTGGCAGACTGATTGCTCTGGAATATTTATTTAATTTTCTTATTTTTTAAATTTATGCTGCATGTTCATTCACTATTCTCTAGGTACACACATGAGGAAAATATGTACATATCTTTTTTGAAATATACCGTGTCACAGATGTAGACAAACAAGAGTAATGGGAAGGTGGAACTTACTCTGGAGGGAAAGGCGGAGACATAAGCACAGAAATGCTGGGATCTTCTCATTGCTTGGCAAATAGGGTTAATATAAAAAGACCTGCCACTGCATGCGGGGAAAGAGGCACAGAGTATGTCTGCAATCTACTTAACATCTCTGAGAATTTGGAACAGCATTAAGGGTATAGTCAAGTGGTCCCTGGTCCAAAGTGATGTCCTAATATCAAGACCTTGTTTCTCCCCCCCACTCCATTAGAGGATGTGACTAGTTCCTCTGGAACTTCCCTATGGCCAGCCTAGGAATTGTCTACTTTTTGCGAGGCTCCATTGACAAATTGCTCTAGAAAACCAAGCTATCTTTTAATTTTGCATCTGTTATAAAAGGTAGGTACAAATCACGATGGTTGCAAAAATATTGACTCTGCAACATAAATACATAGATGTTCAAAATCCATGTTAGCTAAACCCTCCTCCTCCAAACAAAACAAAATCCCTCAAAAAACAGCCTTCAAAAACAACTGCATTTAATTCTCTAGTAATTTTTTTTTTCTCTAGATAAAATTAGCAACGCACTTATTGATTTTTGTGTAGCTCGAAATGCATAGGTTGAGCTAAAAGAAGGGTAAATAAAACATGATGGACTCTCAGGGTTAGATAAAAGAAAGTGCTTATAAATGCAGAAGTCCATGAGCAGAACAGAAACTGTGAATGGTTCAGGCAAGAGGCCAGGAAGCCGATTACATGCTGTAAGCTATTATTTGTGTTGAAAATCTCCAGGAATTGACTGAGTATGGGGTTTCTTAAGCAAGACCGTTCGCCAAGATCTATACAGTTATAATCATCCCATATTATTTATAATGCAGGAATTTCCATAAGCATTATCCTGCCTTGTCTTTGCAAACAGAGGTAAGCAAATTGGTTAACAAGGGTGACGTGATGTAATGTTGTTAGTTTAAATGATCTCTGATCAAGAGCATTTATGACAACAGGCAAGTTTGTCCTTAATGCCAGGAGGTATTTTACCACTTCAGTAGTTTTAAAAGTAGGGAACCAAGTCCGGGAAAATCAATATGAAAGTAAAAGTCTAAGTTCATAGAGGAACTTACAAAAGGTGGCATGTAAAATGGTTGAAAGCTCAATGAGAGTTGGGTCTCCTTGGATCCACTGCATGATCACTTATTCCTTCTTCATGTGATAGGGGACAGGTCACCTCTCTCTCCTCTTATTCTCAGTCTACCCACTCTCAAAGTTAATTTAAGAAATTAGATGACCTTCATCAATGCAGTTGCATCAGGCTGATCATATCTAGGGTGAGATCCAGTATCTGAAGTAGACCCAAACCATGTAGGAATTTAAAGATTTTTATCACCAACATACAGCAAAAGCCACAACTACAGTATGTAACAAGCCTCAAAACTATATAGAAATTTATGTATGCATATGTATGTGTATTTAAAAGTATAAATTATCTTCATCGAAACCGACATAAGGATAGAGCTGACTGTAGCAGATAGTTCTCATGGATCAATGTTGCCTTGACCTTTGCATGTCATGTTTCTGATGCTGTTACATTTTTTTTTTTCGCAGAATCAGACAAGCTCATACTTCTGCAAAGGAATTTACTGTATATCTCAGTGATGCAGACTGCACAGTGTTTAACCTTCCCAGCCTGAGTTTAAATGGGGTTGTGCATGCACGTGTGTTAAAGCATTGCTGGGCTATGGATAATTTCTACTTTGCCAACTAACCTCATAAGTACAAGGAAAATCTTGCATGGAAAGGACTGCAGAGTCGGTATACAAAGGACAACACAAGCCATAATGCATAGAAATTTGGTAAATGAACAGTTGAAAAGGTTCGCATAATGAAATAAACCCTGCCATTCGTCTAGCACGTTAGACAAGAAGGCCAAGAGTTTGAATATATGGTCTATTGGCTTGATTGCTGTTGCGGGATATAAGAACACAGGATCATATACCCAGCTCTCAAGAGACAAAATTGAGTGCATCACTCCTCTGCTTTCTCTTGCCTACTTTTTCTACACCATCAGAGGCCTCTTAGGATGCAGACTGCGGCCAGACAGGACACATGAAGGACACATGGAGATATGTCCATTTTGGGGCCTCTAGGTGACTACTGTCATGCAACTAATTATTAATACTATGAATAAAGTTACAAACTCAAGCAGCAAGCTGAAACGGGAAGTGGTCCAATCCTGCATTTACGCCCTCACACTGCTGCAGATCTGCTGGGTGATGCCGTGCTCATTGCTTGTCCAGATGCCTCAGTTTCCACATCTGTAACGAGGAGATAAGTATACCAACTGGCATGCCTTAAATACTTGGAGATGTAAGTATTAAGAGCTTTGAGATGTTAAATTTGCACGGTAGACTGCAGTATTATTCACCAACTAGACATAATCAGCAAGAAGGATGACTCAGATATGGCTCTCATTGCTCCAGAGCAATAAAAAATATCTTCCACAATAAATTTGAAAAATTAGTCTGTGTCGTTTCTGAGTTACTGGAAAAGTAACTTTGCTTGTTCTGTTCTTATAAATAAAATGCCATCAAATTATCACAAACAGCATGAAACATGATGTTCAGCAGAGACAATCCATAGTGAAGGGTCTTTTTTTTGTTCACGGGCCTGGCTATGTGGTCCTACTGCAATTCACCTGTGAATTGCACTGTCTGCAATTAACTTAGCCCTGCTATTAGCTAACCCATAGCTATTAAATTCACCCATCAAAAACATTTCCTTATGTAGAGCATCAAGTGTTTAATCTCAGGCCTGAACAACAGCACCAGAAGGTTTTATTTATCAAATCAAGTCACACCATAAGTGTCAAAAGAAAGATTTAAAAATAAGGTTTTAAGACTATCGGGAGAAATTGGAGCGTTCCAGGTACAAATAGAGAAACACAGTCTGTCTGTCACATGGCTAGCAACAGAGAGAAATGTAATCTACAGTAACAGCACTGCTTTCTCTTTATTTTCACTTTGCTCAAAGGGCACTTTTCATCTGCAGTTCCCTGCCTGGTGGGTGGCAGCTGTAACATGGGCTCAGAAGTCAGACCCAAAAATAATCCATCCCATCCCAATTTCACCCGGCAGGCCCTCAGCTCACTGAAGAGGTGGCAGGTGACTTCACCTGTCCCAAAGCAATTTACATCCATGAAAGGAGGAATAATATAAATAACGTCCCTGTAATGAGATCTTCGTGTGCCAGGGCTGGGCTGCTATGACCTGGGCTGTCCCATATGAGACCTCATGCAAGTTGTGTGGCCACACAGGAGGGACTGTCCCACGAGTCCAGATGGCCTGAGGCATTACTCCAAATCTGGCACCCTGCCTACGGCACTGCGAAGGCTGATCAGTTCTGGTCCCTGCATTAAAATATGTTCATTTATTCCCTCTGTTGTTGGGTTTTGTTTTTGGTTTTGTTTTTTTTTTTATCATCTTCTCTCTTCTCATAGGAAAGAGGACAGAGTTATATCCACAAAGGTCACCCTAGGGCTCTGGGACTGATTTTTTTACTAGGTGGTATTTTAAATAAACCATCCTCCACCATGCTGTGCACCCCCATCAATCCTTAGTCTAAAAAGTGATGCGAGGGGCTGCTGGCTGCCCTACGGTCTTGAGTCTCGTACCAGCTCTCCCCATTGCTTGACAGTAGATGTTGTTGGAGGTTCAGCTCTCTCCAAAGGCCAGAATGGGTTGCATTTTGCCCTGAAAGTTGAGCATGACTTTCAAGCTGAAGCTACCGTTTGGTTTGTAAGGACAGAAATAGGACTGTGGATATTAACTGCTAGCAAATAATTGTCTGATACAATAAAGCAGAACATCACCTGCTCCCTCTGCAAACTTTTTTTTTCCTGGTGCCATTGAAAATAGTCTTTTCTCTCCTATTTCTGACAATGCAGCAGAGAGGACTAAAGATTTGCTGTCGTAGGGTGGATACCAGGATACATTTATACCTTCTGTGGGGAACGGGGTGCTAGAGGCTGCAGATCAATTTGAATTAGCAGACCCTTTAATTCTGAATTTCTAATTTATTTGCTGTGCAATCAGGGCAAGAACATAAGGGGAATGAAATAAAAATCGAGGTCTCCACTCAACAGTATTTGGTAGTAATGTGCATAATTTTCAATTCCTTATCTGTCTTCCCCAGACAGGTGACCCGGAGTTATTAGTACTGTTTATATCATTAAGCATTGGGCTGGGATTATAGTCCAAGTGACTGCACAACACTGGATGTGAAATTCAGATCTCCCGAGCACTCGTTAATCAAGTTCATTTGGGCTGATCTTCCATCTCCAGTTCTGGCTAATCTAGGATTTGATAAAAAAAAAAAAAAAAAAAAATCCGTGCATGCAAAGACCATCAAAAGCAAGCACGCTGTGAGGGAAGGGGAAATATCACCCCAAGACAGAGAGAGACAGGGCAGGCAGTGAGACAGCACAAACTCATTTCACCACCGCCGTGTAAAGTGTTTTTTAGTGACGCGGAACTAAACTAGGGGTGGAAAAACATGCAAATGCACCTGCGTGGAGGATAAAATGCTCTCTTCAAGCAGAGAAGAGCAGCAAGACATGTCAGCATGTGCCATTTCGTACGTCTGGTTTATCAGTTGGAGGTCAGGCAAAACAGGTAAATAGTGCTTATCAGCAGAGATTCATTAATGCCTTTTCACTGCTGCCTCGGATGCTCTCCAGTGCTTGGGAATGTCCCCATGTAGCACAGAAGGCAAATATTTGCAGTGTGGAATAAGAGTGGTTTGTTTTTTAGTGAAGTGTGCTGTGGCAGTGATCCCACTCAAAGACATGTCCCCAACTCCCTGTCTGGTCCCACTTGTTCGTGGGGACAGGGGGAAGGAATGAGCCATTTTATCTGCTGCGTCCTACTGAACGAGGGATGTGCCTAAATACCTGCAGAGATTTTAAGGTGAAGAGAGTGAGAAACATATTGGCAAACTTCTGGCTCTTAATTTAGGCAGCTAAATGCGGTCCTTTTTCTCTTTTTACAACAAAGTATATCACCTTTGGACAATAAATAGCCTGGATTGCTTATAGCCCTCTTGAGCTATGATGTGGTTGGTGGATAGTTCTGTTTTAGGGACCATAAAAAGCAGAACAGCTCCAGGCACCCTGCTCCTGATCCCTCAGTGGTGGACCAGGGCAGAGTCTGCACCACCCAGCTCGCCTTACTGATAGCACTGTCTTCCTTTCATAGGATAGCCAGCTCTGGGGTTTTTTAAGAATAAATCCTGCAACTAGCATCTATTTTCTGCCTATTTCTTACATGGATTAATTTAAAATAGACTAAACATCATACTACTGTTACTATAGTAATATACCAACATATAAAGTATAACTACAGGGCAATGCTATGTTTACTTGAGCAAAATATTCTGTGGTTAATAATCAATGAAATGTCAACTCACATATTATGTTTCCAGAAAGTCCGGGGTATTCCAGTTCAGGCCTACCGCTGATGGCTGAACTCTGCTGTCCTCCACCCTTGCTGGAAAATGTCTTTCTCTGAGAAATCTACCTGAAGCTACTCAAGATATAAGGTGCTTCTCAGAGCAATGATATCACAATATTAACACCAAGCCTGTTACTTGGAGCTACTGATATCAGGAGGTGTACTTAAAGAGAAGTGTTTAATCAAAGATGTAATGAAAAGAAATGAGGTGTGAGAGTCTGACCCCTTGGTATAAATTGATTTGAATGCTGACAGCTGGGCAATGAGGAGTGCTCTGTACACGGAGCCTCCTTGGCGAGCAGATTTACTCCCTTCTTCCTCCTCCCATTGCCACTGGAGAGCCAAAGTCACCTGTGCCACCTCCTACCCTGGGAAGGGAGGGACTAGGGAACAAAAGGTGGCCAAAAATAAGAGACTACAGCAAATTTGAAGGAGAGCAGGGCAGTCTCAAACCCAGCTGAGATATGGAGCTGCAGAGTCAGTGATCATGCTTGGTCCCCTGAGGCAGCGGGACTCTGCTCTGGGAGAGAGCTTGGTGTGCTCCAATAGTGGGGTCTGTGGTTTGGGGGCTATATCCCTCCTGCGCTTGGTGTTGACCCCTTCAGTGCCAAGTGATGCTGGGTGCCCATGTGGCCAATCTCATCTGTGCTAATGTGGGAGCTCCTGTCACCTCCTACGTGAGCCCTATCCCTGGTAAGGGATACCACCAAGGAGAGAGATCTGCATCCTGAACAGGCTCTTGGAATAATCAGGCCATGGAATAACCAAGCTGCTTTTGGAGCCCTTGAGAGGCTGCCGTGGACTCACACTGAGCCCAAGACAAGGCTGGGGAGAGAAGCTGAGACTTTAGTCGTTTCTGTGCAGATATCAGCTTGTTGCAGATGTACCTGGTAAAGTACCCGCAACTCTCACAGGTGGTTTCTTAGTGATATAAAGAGTCTTTGCCTCAATGGAGATAGCTGCAGTTATACTAAGGATGGCTGCACTCTAGGTGCTTTGGTTTTAAGTAGTCGAAACGAGTCATCTACCAGACTGCACACACAAACTCCTTCATAACCGATACGGAAAAGAAAAATAACAATAACAAAAAGTCTCATGTGCTGTTTCCTCTGGAGCAGCCGCTGCCTGAACAACTCAAGATCTCATCCCTGGTCTAAGCTCTTATTTCCACGCTCGAGGACAAGGAGACAAGGAGGGGTTTGCCTGTGCCTCTGCCCAGTGACGTGCACAACACAGTACAGAGCTGGGTTGTAACAGCAACCACATACAGCTCAGTTTCTTCAACAGCAGCTTGTGAGAAAAAAAGTTTAGGAACCCCTAATTTAAAGTATTTCTGAAGCTCAGCCCTGGGCTTCCTCCCTTTCCCTGTGTGACTGCCCTCTCCAACACAAACAGCAATGCCAGTGCCCTCCAGGAAACAAAGCTTCCACAGCAGGGCTCTGAAGGATGCCCAGCTGGTGAAGAAGAGCTTGCAAAGGCAGTGGTGCACCTGTGAAAGCAAAGGGTCGAAGATGGGGGCTGTGAGCACTCAGATGTTTCTAGCAGAGCTGAGGAAGAAGGGCAGGGGTGCATGTGCCCACTGCTCTCCTCCAAACCAATCAGCCCCTCTCCCTGCATCAGGGAGACGTGGGCTGCGCTGCTCCCTCAGCAGTGCCTGAGGCATTTTGGCAGAAGCTCCTCACCCCCAGGTGCGCAGAGCAGGAGGGCAAATGAGCCCAGCACAGATGTGCTGAGGGAACGGATGTTGGCTAAATAAACAGATGTGTAACGCTCAGCTGAAGATGGACACGTATGAGAGAGATTCCCTCCTCCCTTCCTTGTTTCTGAAGTTAAATAAATAAAACCCCGTTCTTGCCCTAG